CGATGAATTGGCAAAACCGCAATCACACAGAATTGTTTTGCGTGGTCTTTCATGATGACATGTGATGACAGTGGTGGCAGTGACAACCAACCCCTAGCAGTGGTGGCTTGGCGGTTAAGGCTCTGTGTTGCTGATCGGAAGGTCGGGGGTTGAAGCCCCAATCCTGCCAAGTTTCCACTGTTGGGTCCTTGAGCAAGGTCCTTAACCCTCTCTGTTCCAGGGACTGATCCTGGGACTGATATCATGGCTGACCCTGTGCTCTGACCCCAACTTCCTAACATGCTGGGGTATGCGATGAAACGAATTTCACTGTGCTGTAATGTATATGTGATCAGTAAAGACTCTGTATCATTATCATTAGGACATCACGTGACGCGTCTTGGCCCAAGTCTGCGGTAATTCTGAAAATATTGCAGCGTTTGCTTGATAAATCACGTAATCCTGGAAGGACTGCGCAGAGTAGCAGCTGTAAAATAAGAACTGACCCCAGGTAAATTGTGGCCTTTTGTTACATGTTCTCTGGTCTGTGTTTGCCATGTCTGACCCCCCCATGTCAGATTGCCTTATTTCCTTTCTCATTTGGATTGTCCAGCACACTGACCATGTTTCCCACACAACGTCTGAGAGAGAGAGAGAAAAAAAAGAAGAGAAATCTGTGTCCCTTTTCCCAGTGCCGGGTTTTTTTGAGCTTGTTTCAAATCTTTTGTGTGTTGTTTGAGATATAGCTGGGCTGGAAATTTTGCTGATCCCTGGCAACCATGGATAATGCTGTTCCCTCTTCTGTCTGTGCCTCACTGTCGACGCAAAGTGTGTGTGTGTGTGTGTGTGTGTGTGTGTGTGTGTGTGTGTGTGTTTTCACATGTCTGGATGTAAGTGCTAGACTGTCTGTGATCACAGGACAACATGGCAGTGCTTCTTCTCTCATCAATTACTCGATGTGCTTCTCCCTTTCAATTCCTCCCGTATGTAATGTGTTAATAATGACAGTGAAACCCCAGCTCTGAGACTCGGCTGCGTTTTTTTCAGAAGAGATGGCAGCTTCACTCGATTAACCCGCTGACCGTTACGTAGGCCACAAAAAGACACTGGCACAATCCAAGTGGATGCATAAAAGACATCGGGTTCTTATTTTTACAGACTGCCTGCTTCCACTATCTCCTTGAATGTGTAATTGGGTTCCGTTTGCCATATTAACATCCTGGGGTTTGTTTAGTATGTGTGTGCGTGTGTGTGTGTGTGTGTTTCCTGTTACTGATAACAATGAAAAATCTTTTGAGAAGTCAGAAAATTGGATTCTCCTAGGGCCTAATTAGGTCAGCATGTTTCACATCTCTGAGAACTGAATTTGAAATTCAGATTCCACCAGGAATGAGAATATGATTTAGATGTAATTATTTCGGCCCCAGTACACCTCTTTGTGATACACCCTACGCTGCATTGTGCATGATATGATTGTTCGACATGTTGACAGAGCAGCACATTGAGCGCAGTCATTACGGGGTTGTCTTTGTGCGTGTGTGTGTGTGAGCTCAAGGTACAAAGCATTCTAATGAAAGCTCCACTGGGAGATCACATCTGTAGCAAATTGGGTCACACAAGTCCTCTATTCCTGTCTTTTTTTCATTTCAAACCTGTATGAACACAAATATCTGTCGCTTTTATATGTTCTAGATCGGACACATATTTGGTACTACTAAAACAGGAACTGCTGGATGGAAATTCTTCTTCTTATGCCGTATATTCAGACTCAACCCATGATAGACATGGCAGTAGCTGATACAATCATAATCTAAAGCTATGCATCTCTGCAAGGATGGATTTTCTCCTAAGTATGCTGCAAATCGTTCTTGTTTCGACCGGAGTACATCTCAGAGCAGGACGTCTGTTTGTTTTTTAATAATAAATAAACCGTCAAAGCTAGAAAGATCAGATCTGAGAGTAAAGAAATCAGACCGGAGTAATAAAGCTTGTAATGGCGATGCAGGTCTACTCGAACTGAGAAAGCCTTAATGGGTTGTGATGTCGCAGCTTGCGCGAGAGCTAAACGCGTAAAGTAGCTTACCACGCTTTGTGTGAATGAACATAGAGAGAGAGATACAAAGTAGGGTTTGAATGAGAAACACAATAAGTATTTGTACTAGAGAATCAAAAGCCCTTATGTAAGTAAATGTTTCTTAATGTTAGGAAAAAAAAGCCTTTAACCACGCACACAATGGCTCATTTACCATCAGGGGCCATTAGGTAATAGCACCATTAAGCAACACTTCAGCCTGAGCCCAGTTGTACTATTTTACATGAGTCACTTCATAGTCACTGGTAACTGTAGTGTAGTGCAGGAAACACACTTACTGTATGGGACGTTCTCCAGTTATACAGTATCTCACAAAAGTGAGTACACCCCTCACATTTTTGTAAGTATTTGATTAGAACTTTTCATGTCACAACACTGAAGAAATGACACTTTGCTACAATGTAAAGTAGTGAGTGTACAGTTTGTGTAACAGTGTAAATTTGCTGTCCCGTCAAAATAACTCAACACACAGACATCAATGTCTAAACCAATGGCAACAAAAGTGAGTACACCCTTAAGTGAAAATGTCCAAATTGGTCCAAAGTGTCAATATTTTGTGTGGCCACCATTATTTTCCAGCACTGCCTTAACCCTCTTGGGCATGGAGTTCACCAGAGCTTCACAGGTTGCCACTCGAGTCCTCTTCCAATCCTCTATGACGACATCATGGAGCTGGTGGATGTTAAAGACCTTGTGCTCCTCCACCTTCCGTTTGAGAATGCCCCACAGATACTCAATAGGGTTTAGGTCTGGAGACATGCTGAACATGCTGGAGACGGTCTATTGGCCACAGTACAATTAATAAATTCGAAAAGTTATATAAGGCCTGTGCACGATTCCAAAACGTAAACATAACCTCAGTAAGTGCTAGGTCTGGCTTCATAGTATGTACCAGTATTGAAAATCCTGCTTGTGACCGAATTGGGTGTTAATCCTCTCGACGTCGTGCCGCCTGTTTAAGTCTCAAGAACAAAATCTGTGGAAGCTTCACACATAAAGCCTTTTTCTCTATAGTCTGGAAAGGGTTGCCATGGAAACCGTGCACTTAAATTCTCCACAGAGACGATAGAAAAGCACATGAAGGTGTGTTAAGGGGGTGAAAAACAAGCAGCGAGTGCTTCCTCTGTCTACTACTCTCTCTTTCAGTACTCTCCGGCGAGTTTCTGAACAAACAAAGGGATTATTCAGAAGCCACGTCTTTTTGCCTTTGCCTTGAATTCATGCTCATTATGGACAGGAGACCACTTTCAGAGCTCTGGGGATACTCTGAGAATGTGAGGAGAGAGCTGATTAGAGGCAAGGTGATACACTGCTTTTACCACAGCGGTAGTTGCGTGTGATGAGACGATAAGCGAGAGCGAGAGCAAAAGAGATAGAGAAGGTATCTAGCCTAGCCGAGACAGTGCCTTTTCTTTTCTGGAGAAGGACTGCATAGCAACGGTGTGTCTCAAAGTCAGAGATTTTGAACAGATGCATCTCCTCGAAGAGGACCATCGAAGATGTTTCAGAGGTAGGAACGTACTTCCTTAGCGAGTTGACGGTGTTCTGTAACGAGGTCATCTATTGAACACAGATGTTCTTTTGTGTCAGCGAAGGCTGTTACAATATAGTCATGCGCTGTTCAGAGCTGCCTGAGCTCTGCTCTCATCTTGAATCGGTCCACAACCATCACAGGCTTTGGGTTTCTCTGGTATTTTGGAAAAAGCTGCCTTAAAGAGGAAGGATTATTTCGGTAGCACTACTGTAATGAAAAATCACTAATTCATTATACATAATTCAGAATAGCTGCTGATGAACATGTACTCTGATGCCTTTCAGGAGTGTTTTATCGTATTTATGCCTTCGGCACTCAGTTTGTACGAGCTGGCGTTCTCTAGTGCATTTTCATTCACTCTGTGTGCAAATTACACTCCTCAATGACAGACTATTGTATCATTATAAAAAGCTACACAATAAAGCAATATAACACAGCTAATGCAAGTAGTACTGTACTTATTCCTTGTTACGAGATGTCAGGAGTTGGAAGAAGTTGACTCTAAATTGCAGACTCTAAATTGCTCTTCTTATGTATGCACTCACTCATTTACAAACAAGACAGCTCTTCTTCTCACACGTATCTATATACAGTATATAGTATATAACTCCCCGTTAAAATTGTGTTTTTACTGTTGTCCAAATTACATTTGGAAAACTAGCAACAGTGTGAAAATCTCTCGTATTGTCGTAATGTACGGTGTGAACGCTGCATGTATCACGTCATTACTAGGTCCATCGCTGGTTGAGAAATTTCAAACCTGTCTCTGATGGATATATCTTGTGGTACATGTGTGCTTTTTATATGATTTTATTCAGGTGTGCATTTTATATGATTTTATTTTTACATTCTACCTGTGACACCTAAGCGCACCTTGTTGGGAGCACCACAGTCAGCAGTTACTGTCAGTACGCTGACGTGATTGACAGTAAGTGGTACGGCGATGACAAGAATAATAACAGTTTATTTGCAGTTACACTTTTTTTGTGTGTCACAGGAAATGAGGAAATAGGAGGTAGGCTTGGGACAACTCAAAAGGGTTCTTTATTAAATTTCGTTTTCTCTCTTTGCCAAGTGTTTTTCCGAGCTTTTTGATTCATGGTCTTGCACACCGACCTAGCTCTCTCTCATCTCCTCCCTTTATCTCCTCGCCACCACTCTCTGAAACAAAAACAAAACAAAACAAAATATCCCCCTTGGTGATATATTACCACTCATCCTTACCACTCACCCCCCATTCACAAACTTGCACTCGACTACGCCCCTCCGAATTCTGTGTTATCAAAAACCTAGGAGACTCGCACATTCTGAAATCTGGTTTTTCAATCATGCCACAGTTGAAGTCACTGAGATCCCAGTTTTCCCCCACTCTGACATATGATGCATGAGGATGGGGTCAGTGCTAGCTCAGTAGTTAAGGCATTGGATTACTGGTCAGAAGGTCATGAGTTCAAATCCCAGCAGTGGCAGCAGTGCTGGGATTTGAACTCATGACCTTCTGATCAGTACTGCAAGGCCCTTGAGCTGTACCTGCATGTGTTTATGTATTGCACTGCTGCTACATGATTGTCGGATTGCATAAATGAGCAAGTGCTTAGGTGTTCCTCTTAATTACAGTGCTCAGTGAGTGTATATTCCTATTACTAATACCCACGTTATCTTTTTATCTTCATCCAGCTGACATCATATCCACCGTTGAGTTCAACTCTACTGGGGAGCTACTTGCCACAGGGGACAAAGGAGGTCGAGTGGTGGTGTTCCAGAGAGAGCAGGAGGTAGGTGTATGTATATATTCACTGCTAGCTGATCCGTGTTAAATGACTGTTACTGTCGATAGCACACTCGATCCTTTTTATGATCCGCTCAAGTCTCACAAATCGTAACTACACATTTGTAGTGTAGTTTGGTTATTAGTTAAGGACAATCGTTGTCAAAGTGTTCTGTAAGGCTGAGTAAATCCGTCTTTTTGTCCCATCCTCCTGGCCGCTGACATGCTAATCTCCGATAACAGTGAGGTGTCCCGCATTCCCCCACCCTTTAACACCCACCCATGTTAAATCTGTTCCCATTTAGATATCCCTCTCCATTCCCTCGGCCTATTGATACTGATGCTTCCAGAAGAGATAGTCCACCCTTTGGGATTCCATGGCCTGATTGAGATTGCTCTCACAATCACAAATCACCAAAGAGTCTTCTGTTAATGCCTTGCTCATTTATTCCTAAAACAAGGAGAGAACAAAACGAAATACTTACCCACATAGGCCAGGGGTTTTGGGATTTCACAAATGAACAAGAAGGGATGTACTTGATGTACTTATTTGCTCCAAAACTCTGACTAGGATATATGTATAATTGTATTGACATGTGGGGGCGTATCTGTACAAAACCTAGATGTGATTGGCCATTTTTGCTCAAACACTTAAGCAACTGTGTATTTAGTTAAATTCCTCTCATGGTATAGTCTCCATCTTTGGGGTTTTTTTAGAGTAAGAACCAGCCACACCGACGAGGGGAGTACAATGTTTACAGCACTTTTCAGAGCCACGAGCCCGAGTTCGACTACCTGAAAAGCTTGGAAATTGAGGAAAAGATCAACAAGATCCGCTGGCTGCCTCAGCAGAATGCTGCCTACTTTCTCCTCTCCACCAATGGCAAGTCAGATCAGTTTCTGTTTTGATCTCATGACTGGTTAGATATTTCAAACTGGAGTTACTAGTTGAAAGGAAAGGTGAAAACTAGCAGGCCTGAATGCACCAAATTCTGCAGCCACAAGAGTTATCTTGGCCTATTTGAGCAGCTGTTACCGAACCTAAGAAAAATGCTGAGTCATATGGCAGTTGGGTAAAATGGCACGAGGGAATGAAATTTTGCTGCTCTAGTGTTAAAAATCGAATAAACTTAAGTTCACGCACCTATGCTAAGACTCCAACATGGAAGTGTTGGCTTGCGTTTGCTTTAATCAGGTTAATTGAAAGGTATTGATCTTCTCTGATTTATCTTCTATCTGCTCTGGTCATGCCACTGTTCTTACTCGCCATCATCTAGTAATTCTAGTGTTTAAAGTCCTGTCTGCACACTCGGATTGGTTATTTTAACCCCTACACCTGGGACCATAGTTCTCACAGTTCTTGTTGTTCTCTCAGATAAAACTGTCAAGTTATGGAAAATCAGTGAGAGAGACAAGCGACCAGAGGGTTATAACCTGAAGTATGAGGACGGCAGGGTGCGGGACCCCACCACCATCACAGCACTGAGGGTACGATGTCATGCTTTCTCGCTCTTAGTAGTAGTAGAAGCAGTAGTAGTAGAAGCAGTAGCAGTAGTAGAACAGTAGTAGCATTAGTAGTACAGAAAAGTAGCATTAGCAGCAATAGTAGTAGCAGCAGAGCAGCAGCAGGCAAGGTGAGCAGCAGTAGCAGCTGCAGTAATAGAAGCAGCAGTGAGTAGTAGTAGTAGTAGTAGCAACAGTAAACAGTAGCAGGGGAAACAGCAGCAGCAGTAGTAGTAGCAGCAGTAGTAGGAGCAGCAGCAGCAACAGCAGCAGTAGCAGTACAGCAGCAGCAGCAGCATTAGCAGCAGTAGTAGTAGTAGCAGTAGCCAACAGCAACAGTAGTAGCAGCAGAAAACAGTAGTGGCAGTAGCAGCGCAGTAATAGGCAGCAGCAGCAGCAGTATAGTAGCAGCAGTAGTAGCAGCAGTAGTAGTAGTAGAAGCAGTAGTAGTAGTAGCAGTAGTAGTAGTAGTAGCAGCAGTATAGCAGAATAGCAGCAGCAGAGGTAAGGCAAGCAGTAGTGATGGTGCAGTAGTAGCTGCAGATTAGCAGAAAACAGTAGATGATAAGTAGTGTAGTGGTGAGTAAAGTAGGCAGGTAGCAGTAGTAATAGCATAGTAGAAGGCAGTAGTAGTAGTAGAAGTATAGTAGCAAAATAAAAGTAATAGTATACTAGTAGTAGCAGAAAAGTTAAGTAGCAGCCAGCAGCAACAGTAGTAGCAGCAGCAGCATGTAAGTAGTAGCAGTGAGTAGCAGAAACAATAGCAGTAGTAGTGTTGCTAGTAGCATGGCAGATAGCAGTAGCAGCAGCAGAAGAAGAAACAGCAGGATTAGCAGCAGTAGTAGTAGTAGCAACAGTAACAGTAGATTAGTAGCAGAAACAGCAGCAGCAGCAGTGGTGCCAGTAGTAGAGCAGTAGTAGCATTGAGGTGAGTAAGCAGTTGTAGGTAGTGCAGTAGTAGCAGGACAGTAGTAGTAGTGGTAGTAATAAGAAGCAGCAGTAGTAGCAGTAGTAGTAGTAGTAGCAGTAGACAGTAGTAGTAGTAGCTATAGTAGTAGTAGCAGTGAGTAGGTAGTGGTAGCAGGGGAGGCAGTAGTAAGGCAGAAGTAGTATTAGTAGTAACAGGAGAGTAGCAGTAGCAGCAGTAGTAGCAGTAGTAGCAGTAGTAGTAGTAGCAGTAGTAGTAGTATAGCAGATAGTAGTAGTGGTGTGGGGGTGTGGTGGGGGGTGGTGTGGAGGTGGGTGGTGTGGCGTGGTTTTGCGGTGTGGTGGTGGGTGTGGTGGGAGGTGGTGTGTGGTGTGGGGTGTGGTGGTGGTGTGGTGTGGTGTGGGGTGGACGGTGGTGGTGGTTTGTGTGGTTGTGGTGGTGGGTTGGGTGGTGTGGTGGGGGGGGGTGGGGTGGTGGGTGGTGGGGTGTAGTGGTAGTGGTAATGGTAGAGCGGTGGTGTTGTAGAGTGGTAGTTATGTTGATGAAGGAGTAGTAGAAGTGGTAGTAGTGGGGTAGTGGATAAGTAGTTAAGAAGAGAGTGTATAAGTAGTAGTAGTAGCAGTGTGGTAGAGCGGTGGTAGTAGTAGTGGTAGTAGTAGCTGTGGCAGTAGTAGTAGTAGTAGCAGTAGTAGTAGTAGTAGTAGCAGTAGAAGCAATAGTAGTAGTAGAAGCAGTAGTAATAGTAGTAGTAGTAGTAGTAGTAGTAGTAGTAGTAGTAGCAGTAGTAGTAGTAGTAGTAGTAGTAGTAGTAATAGTAGTAATAGTAGTAGCAAGTTTCCTAGCAGAACTGTGTGTGTGTGTATGTGTGTATTATAGAGAAGAGAACCACTCTAAATAGAACAATAACTTCCTCGCATATTAAGGAAGGCGCACAAAAAAAACCTGTGGCTTCGCCGTTCATTCGGAACAATAGTGTGCGGTGGATGTTTGTGTGTGTGCTAAAAACGAAAGCTTTTTTTAAAAAAGCCACATAATAGGGTAGGAAGGCAATTTCTCAAGCTGATATAAATATATGCCCGCCTCTTCCAAACACACACACATTTTTTCAGATGTTTGCTATGACAGATGACTACAAGTCCTAATACCGCAATTCAAAGATAAATGAATAATGAAGTGCTATCAGCTATCATAATATTTCAACCTCACAGGCAGAGATATTATTAATAACCTTGTTAATTACTGAATAACCTTAATCATAGATTGATTCAGATGTAACCTCAATCAGCCTGTGTTTTAGTACTGATACTGACTAAAATCCTGGCAAAGAGGCGTTATATAATGACAAAATATTCTGTGTATCACTAGACACGAATTGACGTTAACAGTGCTTTTACTATCCATCCATCCATCCATCCATATTCTATACCGCTTATCCTTTTCAGGGTCACGGGGAACCTGGAGCCTATCCCAGGGAGCATAATGATGCATTTATTTCCATTAAAAAAAAACTTTCAACAACCCAGTTTCAAAGCGTGATGTATATGTCGGAATAGGTTTTTTTCCATTCCACTCTAAAGACTGTCTTTCCTCCCCCAAAACACCTTAAAACTACCCCATGTGCAGTGATAATGACCTGCCTCAGCAGGAATGTTCAGCCCTTCCCCCTCCCATCAGTCTAAACAGCGAGACCCATCTGTAGTGTTAGAGAAGGGCTGTCATTAGAGAGCGTCTTTCCCCATAAAGCAGGTGATGGAACGGAGGGGGTAAAAAGCACTCTCCTGTGGCGGGGCGCATGTAGGGACTGTGCGCTTTAAATTAGTCATCATTAAGGGAAAGACTTCTGACAAAAGAACTCTGATTCCTATTAGACCCCACTGTAGGGGCTCTTGGTACATAATGATAAATGGTCTGGCTGCACAGTACTGACAGGGTCAAATCATTCACTAAGGGATATGGAGGATTTGTGCAGGAGAAAACACCGTCTCAGAGGGAATGTGAGAGAATTATTTAAAAAAATATATGAAAAAAGACATATCCGTATGCTTTTTTTTTATGCAGAGACCACTCTTAATTATAACCGGTGGCAATACACGTACAGTCAGTATCGGGAGTCGAGGGTATTTAAATTAAATCTGGGTGAACGGTGTAGGAATTACAGCACGTTTTAGATATGACTAGGGGCCATAAGTAATTGAACAGTTGTCTGCTCACTTGTTCCATGGCCAGGTATGTCGTATTAACTTGTTATTTCACTCACAAGTAAGCAAATG